ACAGCACATGTGTGGAGGTCCGAGGACAACTTTTGGGAGTTAGCTATCTCCTTTCACCACGAGGATCCCTCTGAACTCACTTGTCAGTCTTAGCAGGCACCTTTACTGGCTGAGTCCCCCAATTGGTCCACTGCCACAACTGTAGTAGACACACTCCCGGACCGTAGAGTGACTTCAGGGTGAGGAGTCTATAGTTTGCCCACTGTGTACTCTTTCCTATTATCAAGGAGAATATGACAACCCTCTTTAGCTTGATATGAATATTTAAAATAGGTTCCTTTGTGTGCCTCTTTGAGCTTTTCTACTGGGCCACCATCTGCCCTGGAGATGGAAAGAAGCTGTCTCCTGGGCCTGCCTCCCTTCCTTCTGATACCCTAGCGCATTGCCACACTCTCCCTGCTATTTCCTTCACAAACTGCTATTCCAAACTGATGGCCACAGAGTCCTTGTCCGTAACAGGGAGACAAAGCGCTCTGCATAGCTGATTATTAGAAGCTGGCACCACCTGCTCTCTTGATGGGCTGTTAGAGCGAGGGTGTGAGTCATGGGTGTTATTTTTGGTCAGGAGAATTGTGTGAACTTTGCTCCTCTATTCCAAGCTCTTGAAAATGCGGCCCCCCCCATCACCTTTAAGGTGTTTCTCAAGGAATTGGGTACCCTAGCAGAATAGTCATTTTCTGACTTTTAGTTACTGTTTTAGAGTTGAGAAGGTGGAGGGCTTGAATAGAGTTGGGTTGTGTGTTGACAGCCCTATCTGGTAAGTATAAAAGAAAATTACAGTCACTTGCATTAAGGCAAGGGTGCTCCTCCCTTCCACTTCTACCCCTGAGATCAAGTTCAAGGCTGAGATAGATGTACTGTGAACTCACAGCCCCAAAGGTATTGTGATTCTAACTGACCACCACCACTGCATTGTGGGTGATGGCGGGATGCCTGACTGTATTGTGGTTGCATTCTTTTCAGCTGGGCTGCAAACTAAGTAAGGTTTGGTAGCCACGGCTCTACTTCTCTGAATGCCTTCCCTGTTGCCGCCCAAACCTCTACCCGAGTGTTCTCTGGGGTCTTGCCTGTTTATCCCGTGTTTCTGCCTTGCTCTATATCCAAGTGTCCCGGGGCACCCGGAGCACCAAGGTCAACACTTAATCCCTAGCTCTGGAGCCACAAAGCATCCTTATTGTTTCTGGTTCATGACACGATAAGCAGGGAAACTGGGAACAAGCTTTCAGAGGTGTTTTAGAGCCATCGTATGGGCATGGCTTTAAAACACGGGGTTTTCTTAAGTTTATTTTCCTAATAATTCATGTTGGCTGCATCGCCCAAAGCATTGATCAGGGATGGACTGAAGAATGCTGCTCTTCTTGCTGCCCGGGATGAGTTACTCAGGCTTTGCTAATTCAGTGGCAGTGGTCCCTGAAAGTTAGCTTCTCCCCTCCCCACCAGGGGATCAAGCCACTGTTGACTGAAAAGGGGAAGTCTGAGGGTGTGGCCATCCTTGCGCTTTGGCTCCCTTGCTGAATTTTGGTTGCTGCTCGTGGAAGGGTGCAGGTGGCAGTGCTCCTTCCTCCACCACCTCTCCTGAGACCACCCTTCCTGCCAGCTGCCTGCCCTTCCATCTGGGAGGATGCTGCTGCCGGCTCCCTGAGAAGAACCATGAGCTAATGTCTGGGAACTTTCTGAAGTTCAGTGGAAGGAAGCACGGACTGTCAATCAAGAACATTTTTGACTTTCACCACCTGGACCCAGTCTGTCCTGTGTCTTTGAATTGACCACCCCCCAGCCCCCACCCCACCCCCACCAAAAGTTCTGAGATATGAGGTGAGGAATACCCCTCCCTTGCCTGGATCCTTGCCCCCAAGGTACCCACAAGGTCCACCCTTTCTTTTTAAAGGTGACCTCCTCTGTACACTCTGTTTCCTGTGCTTCATTCTCTAGATGCTTAATACCTGACCAAGTGAGCCACTCTTATTCTGTACCATGGAGTATAACATGTAATCAGTTACATGTGAGTTCACGAGAGCATAGAGTTTTGTGTTTTGGGGTCATTGCTACATCCCCAGGCCTAATACAGGGCCTAGCACAAAGCAGATACCTAGAAAACATCCTCGTGAATAAATGAACAATGAACAATGCAGGCACGGAGCCATAAAGATCCAGTTGTGGCCAAAGAGGGGCCTGCTGTGTCCCCACAACTCTTCTGTGTACTTGCCATAGGGTGGGGGCTTTAAGCAGCATCCACTGGGTGCCCAGCCTGGGGTTCAGCATTCTCTGTTTACTGTGTACATTTTAGGTCACCACATGGAAAGTTCAGTGTTAAGTCCCTTCTGCAGATAGAGAAAAATTCCCCATGCAGCTAGTGACAAAACTGGGAAGTAACTTTCATTCCCCACCAGGGAACTTCCCAAAGTCATCTGGGAGCAATGGTTCCTGGTTTCTGTGTCTACAAAAGGGAGTCTAACTTTCCTCATCCACCATCAACTTTGTATCTCAGGAGAGCAGAATTCTGGGAAAATGGGAAGCAAGATATTGTAAGCTATGAGCCATGCATATATGGGGTTGAAGATTTAAATTGCACTGTGGAATGGAGATTGTATTAGGGAAAGCAGCCCGGAGTGCAGGGGTCTGAGGGTTTGTCCCAGGCAAGGCTGCATGCTAGGCCCTGGTTTAGTAGTTGGTACTCCTTACTCCCAATGCCAAGGCGTCTCATCTCCCCTTTTAGCTGTGTTAAGGGAGAGGGGAGGAGAGAGAACCAAGTTCCTTGCCCTTCATGGAACTTATGCTTTAGCACAGAGAGGGAGTCAGGAAATAAACAGCGACCAATAAACCATGAAGTAAATTATATGGCATGTTAGGAGATGACACGTGCCTCAGACAAAGGCACGGGAGCAAAGGGGAAGGCGGCTGTGTTAAATCCAATGGTCCAGGAGTGGGGGGGGGGTCCTGTGGGGATGAGTGACCTCTATGCAAAAGCCTGAAGGAGTTGACAGAGGGTTTGGGCACCAAGATGGAATGAGACCTGGCATGGAAGAAAAAGGAGAATGGAAGTCAGGTATCTAGGAAGAAGAGGAAGATGACAGTCGCAACCAATGGGCTGTGGAGGTCCCAAGGACAGTGAAAATTTTGTCTTTATATTCTTTCCCTTTCTGCCTTTTTCTACCCAATATAATTATTCTCTTAAGTGTAGCATTGAAGGCCTTGGAGATGTGGCCACTACAGTGGGTTATCATTTATGCCTCTGGATTTGGGTGTCCTCAACTTCGGCATGAAGGAATCTGGGGACTTATCTCCATGGACACCTCTTTGAGTGGATTGTTGTGAGGCTCCAGCCTTCTCCTTCCTTCATCCTCTCATTCTGAGGCTTTAGACATGAACGTACACACACACACACACACACACACACACACACACACACACACACGCACACACACTGTGTGACTAGCCACCTTGCTCAGTAGTTGTCTTTTAAAGGTGGGTGAGAGCATGGTCGGTCGGGTGAGAGTCAGAACAAGCTATGGTTTGTAAAATACCAGTAGGTTTCTGCATGTCAGGGGACAAGGGCGAGCTGAAGGCTGAGCAGAGGGAAACATGAAGAGTTCAGGGGAGCCCCAAGAGGAGATGCATTAGAAGATGCCAGCAGTGCTGCTCTGGAGACAGGAATGGAGCTGGCTGGCTAGGTGAGCCCCTCCAACAGGGTAGTACCCCGGGTCCAGATAGGAATTAGATGATGTTTGTGAGAGGAGAAGCTTGTGGCGGCGGTGGTGGTGGGGTGATGTTCTGAAGACTGGGGTGCAAAGCAATAACCTGGGTTTTTTGGAACCGCGAGAGCCACCATCAGGAAACAATGAGATGGGAGACAGCCCAGGAGACTAAAGAATTGCAACTGGGTCCCGATGTTGGAAATGGCTGCCTCAGAACGGCAACCAAAGTTCCGGGCATTCAGCCTGGGGAAATGGCATCCTGGGTAACATGCCTGCTGCAAACGCATGAGGACTTGAGTATGATCACCTGCACACATGTAAAAGGTAGGCACAGCAGCATACAACTGTAGTCCCATCGTTGGGGAGACAGAGACAAGGGGGATCTTTGGGGATCACTGGCCAGACAACCTCGTGGAACTGGTGAGCTCCAGGTTCAGTGAGAGAAGGTCTCAAAAAAATAAGGTGGAAATCAACTGAGGAGCATATTTGATGTCAAGTTCCTTCCTCTACATGTGCAAACACACATGTGTACACATACACACACACAAATAAGCACACAAATTCTGGGCCCTGAAATAGCAAAGAAGAACGCATTTGAAGGGGCAGAAGAGACCTAAATGAGACTGTGAGGCTTTTCTTACATTGTTGGCCCTAATGGAGAACTGAAAGCTATACAATTTGAAAATGGACATTGTTTTACCTGTGTGTATGTGTATGTGTGTGGGGCTACATATGTACAAGTATATGCTTGTGAGGGTGCAGAGGCCAGAGGAGGACATCAGAGGTCCTGCTCTATCAACCTTATTCCCTTGAGACAGGGTCTCACTGAGCTTCAAGCTAGGCTAGCAGCCAGCAAGCCCCAGAGACCTTCCTGTCTCCTCCCTGGCAGCACAAGGTCCTATCTGCACGCGGCCATGCCTGCCTAGCTTTTTATGTAAGTGCTGGGTATTTGAACTCAAGTCCTCATGCTGGCACAGCCACCCCTTAGGATAGACATTTTAGTGAGAAGCCCTTAGGAAAGTTTTGAAATAGTCAAATATGATTGGCTCCCCTGTAACCTGTCCCCGTTTGTGAGCCATTCTGGAAATGAGTCTCACTACATAATGGAGGCTAGCTTCCCACTTCATCCTCTGCTCCTTGAGCTGTCACCGTGTGGCTTACCCGCGTGCTGCGTTCACACACATTCACTGGCACTGGGCTCTGTGGGATCCAGCTGGGCTGGATGGCGGCATCTACTAGTGAGGAAAGCCCACATTTGTTCATACCTCCTTGCTGATTGCTGTCGTGCTGTATTGGTATTTCCAGGCCAACCTTGCACAGCTGTTGAGAGACTCTCAGGACAGGAATAAGCATCTGGGAGAAGAAATCAAAGAACTCCGGCAGAGGCTTGGCGAGGTCCAGGGTGACAATAAGGTACTGTGAATGTTGACGGGAAAATGTCACTGTGTGAGTGTGCACTGGAAGTCTCTGTGTACGTAGCACATCAGGCAATGCACTGCAGTGTCTGCTCAAAAGACGGCTAAGATTTTTATATTCGCAATAATGGAGGTTCACGGTTTAGGTTTGCCTTTATCACAGCCCCTGTGTTGTGTGCACGCGTGTGAGCGCGCGTGTGTGTTTCTGAGCTGCTCTAAAATACTGTTCCAACCCATTCTAGAACTTTTGTCATATTCAGCTTGGTGGTAGACAACATGTGGTTGAAGGCGAAATAAAACCAAATGTGATACTTCCTCCCTTCTACACAAATAATGGATTTGTGGCTCCGATGATTTGAATTTTAAGTAGTCATTCTACTAATGATGTTCACATCACCAATTTACTTTATTGCTAAATTTGGCAATTTGTATGGAACATTGCTCAAAATCCAAAGCTCGGCATTAATCAAACTCCCCTGTTGGCAACGTTAATTATAAAATATGAACTCATAAACTCCAAACTAAATGTGTGTACTCACTCTCTCCCAGCTGAAGCTATGAACAAAAGCACAATTGAAAAAGAGAAGAAAAACTACTCAAGTTAAATTCTGTTCCCACAAATAATTTTCCATTTTGCCTGGCATGGACAGATTCATTGTCAGCCCTTTGCCAGAGGCAGTGTTTACAACAGAAAGGGCGTTGAATTTTGACTCAGAAATGCTATATTGTGTGTGTCTAGGGGTGCTTTCTTGGGGAGACGTTTTCTTGGTGTTATCAAATTCCTTGACAAATGAAGGTAGGTTTCTCTTTCATGAGGAGTTGGTGGTGGTTATTGGAAGGCACCATTTTGAAAGATGTTCACTAATTTTGGAAAACATGTTTAGTACTCCCTGGGAGTCAGTTGCCTAGAGGGAACTCTTCCACAATGAAAGATCAGAGAGGTCAGTGCTGACGGCTAGATGGGAAGCCCAGATGGTTTGGATATGGTGTCATCCCTGCACCCCACCTACCCCTGTTTGTGTACTGGAAATTTGGCCCTTGTGTTAGTTACATGATAAAAACAACTTGAGGAAGCATCGTGACAGGAAGGTATGATGGCAGCAGCAGGACATGGAAGCAGAAAGAGATGATACTGTGCTAAGTTTTCTCTGTTTGTTCAGTCCTGGACCCCAGTCGGTAGGCACCCATAGCCTACATAGAGTGAGTCTTCCCACTTCATTTAAACTAACCTAGGAAATTCCTCATAACTATCCTCAGTCATTTGTTTCTGTGGTGGTTTAAGTCATGCCCATCTGTCAAACAAGACTACCCACCACAGTCCCAGTCACAGCCCTGAAAGGAGCTAGAACCTTTAAGAAGTGGGGTCTAGTAAGTTGGGTCATGAGGCCCACGAGAGGGGACTACTTGCTTCCTGTTTACTGGAGCAAATCAAGTTTCTAGTTGTTCAAGAGCCGATGTCATAGGAGCATCCAACCCTTCTCTGCTCTGTCATTTCTCCTTCTCCAGCTGACATCCTCTGTACCCACCATACTGTGCTGCCGCCAAAGGCCCTCACTAGAAGTCCTCTAAAGATGTGAGCCAAGAAAACTTCCTTACTTCATAACGTATCCAGCCGTTGGTATTTTGTTATCGTGATGGAAGATGGGGTTAGAGAAATGACTCAGCAGTTAAGAGTACTTGTTGCCCAAGTTTGAGAACTAGAATTTAGATTTTGGCATCTGTTTAACAAGCCAGATGCCCTGAATGTATCTGCAACTCCAGCTCTGAGTTGAGATAGAGACAGGAAGTTCCTTGGGCTTGATGGCTTCCAGCCGAGTGAAGAAAACTAGAGGCCCAGGTTCACGGAGCTGCTATGTGAAAGGGACACATGGAGCGTGACAGAGGGGAGTACCCAATGCACTCTTCTAGTCTCTGAGAGCAGTGCACATAGACATTTTGTTTTCGCTCACAGTTCCAGGACGTACAGCAAACAGTGCATATTAAACTAACTAAATAGATAAACAAAAATATTTCTTAAATGGACAAAGTCTTCATTTATCTGTTTTTAAGACAGGATTTCACTGTATAGTCCTGGCTGACATGGAATTCATATGTAGATTGTGACCTCACAGAGATGCGCCTGCCTCTGCTGGGATTAAAGATGTGCACTTCCACTCTTTTCCATCTACTTACTGTAAAATAAACAAATTAATTAATAGATACACAGATAAATAAATAAACCTCTGTATTTAACCTAAATTTGAAAAGTTAGGCTCTCTTACCTGGTTGTGAAATGGGGTAGGAAAGAATGCCCAGAGAAGGTTCTCATTAGCACCCTAGAAACTCGGCAGACTCCCATGTGGTAGATGCACCCAATAGGTCAGAGATCAAAGGTCAGCTCTGGTAGTTCCCTCCTCCAGCAGTGACAAGAGAGCATGGTCTTTCTAGTAAAATGTGCAGTTGTTTTTCTTTAAGCTCATAAAAATACAAAGTGGATTTTGGAGACACCATAAACCCAATGAAACAGTTTGAAAGTGTGATTATTAATTCATGCTTCTTTATTAGTATATTATTCCCTACTTCCTTTTATCATTCTGAGCTACTCCTGAGTTTGTTACATCTTGATCTTTTGCCTTTTCCCGTGTGTGTGTGTGTGTGTGTGTGTGTGTGTGTGTGTGTGTGTGTTTGTAAGCCAGAGGTTGCTCTCAGAAATTGTTCTCCACAACTCTGCATCTTGTCTTTTGAGGCAGAATCTCTCGATCAAACCCGGAGTTTGCTGATGTGTCTAATCTCACTAGTTAGCTTGCTCGGGGGATAGCCTGTCTCTTCATTTTGCAGTTGGAATTACAGGGAAGCCACTGCACTCGTTGGCATTTGTGTGGGTTTCGAGGGTCTACATTCTAGTCCTCCTGCTTGTGCAGCAAGAACTTTAACCACGGTGCCATTTCCTCAGCCTTCTTTTGCCTTTTAATCATAAATTTTAGGAAGTGTCGATGGAAGTTGATATTTCAAGGGAAGCAAAGGCAGATGTGGTGTGTGTGTGTGTGTGTGTGTGTGTGTGTGTGTGTGTGTGTGTGTTGTATATCTGAGCCTAACCCTGGCTTCTTCCTCCTAGTCATTGTCTGAATGCTGTGATCTGCACATGTGTCAACTTGTATCCAAGGTTTTGGATTTAGTGACTATTCATGACCTGTGGAGTAATCTGTCTGTTATCTTGTTCACCAGACCCCTGCGCAGTATCTGGTTCCTCCTCTCAAAAAAACAAGGATGTGGCAGCAAGCCCCAGAGTCATCACTCTGTTCTTTGCATGTGCAGTTTCGAGGCTGGCCAGGTCCCGATGTTATTTTCAGGCCATGGCCACCCTTCTGTAAGTCCACCTCTAGGCCTTGATAAGATTGCTCATCCCACAATGGCACTAAACTTCTTGAAACTGAAGGCCCTGCTCAAAGGTAGCTGGGGCGGTGTGATAGAGACTGGGTTAAGCCTTTGTGGGAGGTGTGTGTGTGTGTGTGTGTGTGTGTGTGTGTGTGTGTGTGTGTGTGTTGTGGTGGTGGTGGTGGTGGTGATTTTGATGGTTGTTATTTTTGTTGTTTTGGTGCATTATGCCATGTGTGGCTTCCACTCTTCTTTCATCATCCAGATGCAGGCCATGTCCTTGTCATGGTGTGCCAGGCACCTGTGCTCTGCACTTCTGGTTTTCCAGCCACAATCTGGCTGATGTCATCTTCTTCGTGCAGGTTTTGGCCTATCTGCCTTGAGTCATGGGATCTTTGCGCCTATTACATTCTCTGGGGCTTTCCCCTCGACTCCCCTTTCTGTCTACTTCCATTCCAGTCAGATCATGAATTAACTGATTTTGCCAGCTTTCGGATGTCAGTCCTGTGTGTCCTTACTGTGTTTGTCTCTGCTTCTCGCACTGTTACTTGTGGCCCTTTAGGCCCAGGGTTATGCTCAGCAGATGAGTGCTAGGCCCACCCATGCTCCAGTCTAGGATCCTTAGTTCCCCACACAGAGCCCTCCTTAGCAAATCTGCCTTGAAGGGGTAGATGACTGCATTGACAGAGTGCACAGTGCTGTGGAGAGATAAAGGGCATAGAAGGCATGGCACAGGGACGGTGTGGTGGCTCATGAGTGATCCCAGCACTTGGGAGTCAGAGGCAGGAGGGCCTTGGGTTCAAGACTGGCCAAGATGGCAGTGGGGCAAAGGAATTCAAGTAAGACAGAAGGAGAAAGTGGCTCACAGAATCTGCACTTCATATCATCACACTGTGTGGTGTGAGGAACTCAGAAACTGGAACAAAAGTTCTAGAAAATCAAAATGTCCCAACAAGGGACAAACAGAAGCTCTAGCTGGAAGTCCCTGGGAAGGCCTGATAGGTGCAAGGGCAGAGGACAAACGTTGGTGGCCAGAGGATACCCATGTCAACCCTGCACGTGGTCGGTCCCATTCTCCTCAGCATACTTAAGGGATGGGTATTTGCTTCTTGGAGACCCAGCAGGGGTCAAGGGTCGTGTTTGCTGACCACCTGTGCCTGTGGGAAGTATCTCCGGGTCACCACTTGACAGTGACCCTTCACCATGCCACAGGCAGGCTGACTGTGGGTATGAGGCACACATGAGCACTGAGGTGACAGGAAATGACCTGCCTTGGATATTTCAGAGCCACTGACTTTTCTATTTGTCCAGCTAGAACCTTGGCGCCCTACACTTCATAAAGCACTTCCGAACGGCTTCTGGAGGGTTTGCAACTACAGCAGCTATGGCAGCTTAGTGTTTGCATAAACTGAGGGGGGCAGGCATCTTGTGACACATTGGGGAGGGCTTGGAACTCAGTACTCCCTGACCTTCCTCTGACTGGTACCCGAGAACTGGGGAGAGGAGCAAGAATATACCCAGATAAATGCAAACTCCCAACCCATATAAATGAGAGACGTGACAGCTAAGACACACCAGAAACTTCCCCTTCCTCAAAATTTCAGAGTTTTTGGGGGGGGGTGTATGGATGTGTTCACACATGTG